TCAGACTGACCCAGTTACCCCTGCCACTATTAATCATTCTGACAAAGAGGGAGTCTCAGGCCATGTACCAGTCCTGTGCTACAGAGTCTGTAGTATGTTTATACAAGAAAAATGACAAAATAAACTGCTACAACAGATGGTGGCGCGACCCTCGGCAGTAGATCTTATAGGTGCTCTCTCGCTCTTCATTAAGTTAAATTGGCAGCTGACCTCTGTGTGTGAATACATTGCATCGTTTCCTGTAAGTACAAAGAAGTAAAGTGAATTTGATTTCTTGCATACTAACTGGAAACTACTATACTGTAGTGCATGCTGCTATAGTATGGAATAGAGACTTAGCTGTAGTCTACAGTCTGTCAAAGTGCCAACTGATGTAGTTTGAGTGATTACCCAGTTAACACTTTGCAGAACAGATGTTTAATTAAAGTGCACTGGATTTCACTATAAACACTTTACAGTAAAGATTATTCTAAATGTTTCAGATAAATTAAATACAGTGCAGCACTCACAAAGCAGTTGGACTAGTTCATAACAGGATTTTCCACCTTATCAGTGTCAGTATCATCAACCACTAACCCTGGTGTCCTTAGACACTCACAACATTTAGACAATAATACATTAGCAGAAAATACAGTTGACCAGTTAAATGGATAAACGTTGTGGGGAAGTACACACGAGGCACTTTGTTTCCCCTGCGGTGAGCTCCAGGGGGAAAACGCAGATGAGTGTTTGAACATCGTGTCCCTGAACCCAAACATCCTGCTGAGGACAGCGCGCTCACTGTCGCGTGCAGTGTAGCAGCGCCAGCGCGTGCACGGAAACGTGAGATTTCCCCTTTTGTTGTGGCACCGCGAGCGTCTGATGTGGACGATGTAAATAAGCACATTGTAAGTGAGGCCGAGCTGATAAATGATGCCATAATAAGTTTATAATTATACAGTTTACCGTCTGAATCAACGGTTACTTTGATATTTGAACTATAACAAAAGGTTGAAATATTAAAGTGTTTGTGCAGACTAATTAATTATTATTATATATATATAAATAACATAAATTATTAATTATATTATTAATTATAACAACCTGTAGTTTCATCCAGAGCTGTCTCGTGCACAACGTGCACTCTGTTTGGGTCTCGTGCCAGCTGTTCCAACCGTGAGCGCGTGCACGCTCCACTCTCCTTGGCCCGCACGTGCGAACTGTCTGAAGCCACGCCCCTCGACAGATTGTACTGTCACGTGAGTAAGATGGGAGGCTGCACGTGTTTGGCCACGAGTTATCTCCCCGTGCAGAATTAGGACGCGAGCGACTGAAAGACCTTGCACGAGCACAGTGCGCCTGGTGTTTTGGTGATGATCGATACTTTAATATGAGGTCACGATCAAAGCGTGCCAATTAATGTGTGATTTAGTGAGCACTGACACTTCCCACTTAAATATATATTAAATATAAATATATATTAATATATATTATTAAATTTGTATCGGTCTCAAAAATCCCATATCAGTCGGGCTCTCACGTACATATGCAAACATTTTGATGCTGGGAATTTGATATTTGTACTTGCACATTGATTTTTTTTATCCTTCGAGTTTCCCGCATGATGTGGAGTGGACCATCATACTGGCCATGTGTCAGTGCTCTAAAAGCTATAGCACTGGCTCAAAGGTCTGCCTTCTGTCTGTGTGTCTACATGCTGCAATGTTAGTTAATGTTACGTCAGTGTGAACGTGGCTAGAGCAACTAATACTGATACTGATACTGATACAGGCTGTAGCAGCATACTTCACTGTTCAGTATTCTTCTTCTAGATGCTTGGCTAGCAGGAATATATTTTATAAAATAGTAATGGGGAATTCAAAAACAGGATGAATTATCTGAAATGTAACAACCTCTATAAATCAAAAATTCTCACCTGTTTTCTTCTCTTTCACTTCCACTTCTGCTGTCGCCTCCTCAGACAAAGACTCATCTTCTTGTCCTTCCTCTTCTTCTTCTTCCTCCTCCTCCTCCTCCTCTTCTTCTTCTAGTTTAGCTGGTAGTAATGTAGTGACTGTCATGGTTTCCTCTGGATCTGAGGTGACCCCAGAGGTGGCGGAGACGGAGGGAGGAGACGCTGCGGTGGAGATGGAGGCTGCAGCAGCAGCAGCAGCAGCGGGAGGCGTAGTAGTAGTAGTAGCTGTAGCAGTAACCTTGGGGATGGATTTGCCTTTGCCTACCACGGAGGAGAGAGTCTTCTGCAGCTCCTCCTCCTCCACGGTGACAGGAATACCGTTCTCCAGGAGGAACTCATCCAGGTCCATGTACTCCAAGTGGAAGGTCTCCCCATCGTAGGGGATGGTCTTCTCCCAAATGGCTGGGGTCAGGGAGGCTGATACCCCTCCAGCGCCTCCTCCGCCACCTCCTCTAGAACCTCCACCAGCACTGGCTGCCCCAGCCCCGCCTCCCTCCACATCCTCAGATGAGCACAGCTTCTCTTTCTCTATTTCTGCATTAAAAGACAGGAGGGAACAGTAGTTTAGTAAATGGCTTTTCTTTTGCACACATGACTTCAGGAGTCCTTTCCGAGAGTTTGAGACACAAACAGGAAAAGTCAAGTAATGGATGGAAAGAGTCGTGGTGGGGAGAAAGGGGGTGTGGTGGTGACCTGACACAGTAGACGTCTAGATTAAATAAAATGCAGAGTGAGGCTTCAGGGAAACCAGACAGGAAGACGAGGAAAGGCACAGAAACACTGGAGAGAGAGCTGCCTGCTCCACTCTATGCACCACAAAACATAAAACACCTCCACAACAACTAGGGACCACATAACACTGGACCAGTATGGTGACTGAAAAGCCAACCAGTGTCTTTGTCTGTGAGTGTATCTCCAGTGTGTGTGCGCTGCTTGGAGAGCAGCAGAGAGGAGTTGGAACTTTTTGTTCTTTTTTTGTTTCCTCGCAGCCTCGGATGGAAACTAGCTCTGTGCGACATATGGCTGTCCGTCCTAATCTCGCCCCATTAACGGCCATCATATTTTTAATCCAACGACAACTAAAAAGCCCCTGACACACACTTTGCACATACAGTTTAATCGTGTACAGCCTTTTTAAAAAACCGATAAACTCGTAGTTAATGCAACTGGGAAACTGAGCGCTGGTGTTCGCAGTGTGATCTTACCGTCGTCGCCTTCCTCCAGGATGTTAGGAGGAGGAATATCCATGATCTTCTTCAAAGCGAAGGGGAACGACTTCTGTGGAGCCGCCGTAATGACCCCCTTACCGCTGGGCTCAAGAGCCACTGTCACCGCGGCTTTGCCTGGCATTGTTCCCTTTCCAAGCTCCGAGTAGACCGGGGGAGACGTTTCTGACGGTGCCGAGAGCTGCTTCCTCCACCGGGAAACGACACACACAAAACGGAAACGCGGCTCTGCGTTTATTTCTTCACTCCAGCTGCTGCTCTCAGGCCTTTGTGTTTGACAATATCAACGCGTTTGGACGCAAAAACAACACTACACTGAACCGTTGTTCTCCTCGCCCACCGAGAGCGCTCATTGGATATTCATGAGCCGCATGCCCCGCCCCCTCTCGGAATAGTAGCCGCTGATTGGCTGTCCGTTCTGTCCGTTCTGTCCATATGAACGTACACTACAGCGACTACTGCGTGTGTAGCTCTGCGACTGATCACTGAACCAACTGGAGATATTGGATATGGATATATTAATATATATTTATATTTAATATATTTATATATTTATATATATTAATATATATATAAATATAAATATATATTAATATAAATAAATATTAATATATATTTATATTTAATATATAAGCTTCAAAAATTCAATATATCTGCCCCCATATCAGCGATCAGTGAAAGTGAAGTGAAATTATTTAATATTAATATTCCACATGCGTTAATATATTAGTGTCACTACAAAGTTTATCCAGCAGAGTGGACTGGGATTTACAACACTGTAGTCAGCAGTACAGAGTAAAAGAGAATAAGCAGCTCTCAGCAATGTCAACTAGAATTGGTTGACAATATATAGTATGTTGAATTATTTAACTTGTTAAAGAATATTAAACATAAATATTATTTAAGTTGTTTGTTTGTTTGTTTCTGACTACCTCTGCAATTCACAAATAAAAACAAAATTTTCATTATCTGTGCTGCCTGGTGTACATTAAAGCCAGGGACCGAATAGAACAATTATTATTGTGTGTGTGTGTGTGTGTTGCGATTCTTTAAAGAACTTACAGAAAACAACAAAATGTTTTAAGTATGTTTAATTGTTGTTGGTGTTCAGACAAAAACAAACCTGTAAATAATACTTGCTTAAATGTGTAAAATGATAATTAATGAAAAAGGCTTTCTATGTCCCTAAAATGTAATTATTTCCTGTATACAGCTCGATAACCCCTTTTCTTCCAAATCATTTCTTGCCAGGTAAAATGACAGCTTTCCTCTCTTTTCTCCTTCACAGTTGGGACCTGAAAACATTGTTGCATATTCGTGACGGCACAAAAAAAAGCCTGCAACCTGCTGCCCCAGCCTTCAAGGTGCCTTTACCATGGTGACACTAAAAGAATCATACACTTTTCAATAACCTAGAGGAAAACCTCTTGTTACATTTGCATTGCCTCACTTTCATCATCATCTTGATCACTTTGCTCCCAGGACGGCGCTAACCTGGTGCGGCCATGCATCTAGAAGTTAAGGTTGCCCTCAACTTCATCGTGTCCTACCTGTACAACAAGCTGCCTCGGCGTCGAGCCGACCTGTTCGGCGAGGAGCTGGAGAGGATACTGGTATCTCGTTTTGAGGGTCACTGGTACCCGGAAGCCCCCCTCAGAGGTTCTGCCTTCCGCTGTATTCACCTGGGAGCACCAAGGGACCCCGTGGTGGAGTTGGCCGCCAAGAGAAGTGGACTGGACACGGAGGAAGTGCGTGCAAATGTTCCTGCAGAGCTCAGTGTGTGGATTGACCCTTACGAGGTGTCCTACCAGATTGGAGAGAAGGGGGCAGTGAAGGTTCTCTACCTGGAGGACCCTCCAGGCCTCGGGTGTGACAGCGAGAGAGTCGAGGGGGTGACCAGAGAGGGTAAAGGAGATGCAGAGGCGGAGGAGGCCAAGAGTCTGGGCTTCAACCCAGATGCTCAGGTGTTTGTACCAATTGGAAGCCAGGCATCTCCTGCCCTCATGCCGTCGCTCTCTAGCTCTCCCACACCACTGTCTGGCCAGTCCTGCCCCGGGCTCTTCAGCTACCCCAGCTCCAGCACACCTACTGACCCTGCTGCCCACTCCTCTAACACCTCCACCCCTTCCCCTCCCAGCGGCGGGCTTCCTTACCTCTCCACTCAGCAGCAGCCCTCGACTCTTCCCGCTGCCCGTCCTCAGCCCATCACCTTCACCACCGCAAGCTTCGCCGCCACTAAATTCGGCTCGACCAAGATGAAGAAGTGCAGCGGGGCCGGGTCGGCGGCTAGCTCTACCGTCGTCATACCCCCTGCCCAGAGGATGCTCTCCCGCTCTCCCACCACCATCTCGGCGCCAGAGCTGCTGAAGCACAAGCCCCTGTCCCTCTCCTTGCACTCCCTCGGTGGTCCCATCGCCAGCCAGCTCTCTCCCAACGCCAAAGAGTTTGTCTACCCAGGATCCCCGGGCCCTCTTTACTTCGACGCCGACACCCAGCCCATGCAGCCTCATGCCAGCCCATTCCAAACCCCCCACACTGTTAACACCCATCCGTCTTTTGACCCCTTCTCCAGCCCTCCTCCTGCCCAGAGCGTGGGCATCATTGGCAGCAACGGAGGAATCCCCTACATGGAGAAGCCGCCGTTTGTCGAGGGTTTAGGAAGCTACAACCTGCAATATCCTAGCCAGTCCTTCCAGCCTGTCGTGCTGGCCAACTAAGCCTTCATTTGTAATGATAAGAATTGTTGTAGGAGGAGGTGGGTGTAGGACAATGATTCTCCAGATATTTTCAGTTTTTCTAACAAATTGTTCTAATACTAATACAAGTTAAGAATTAGTTTTACTACAAAGATTTAAAATACCACGTCCACTGAATAGTTCATGTGATCTGTTTTGTTCCAGTATAACCCCCAACTCCACCCTGCCCCTTTTGTTCATTGCTGTTACTCCTCATGTTCTGCGTGTTGGCTTTGAAGACAGGAGTTGGTGGGTGGGGTGGGGTGGGGTGGGGGTTGAGTTTCTTTCTACCTTGAGTCGTTGCCAATCTCTTTGTTTATTATTTTGCATTGAATGTTGATGCGAGGGACTTTTCTTCTTTTCTTGTAGTTTAATGGACCCGGCTCTAGTATAGCTCCATTTTGCACTGCACTGTCATGCTGTGAAAAAGGACCTCGCCAAGTCCTGCAGGGAACGACGGCTGTGGAAAGCTCAGCACTTTGCTCTGCAATCTGCTCTGCCCTACTTGCCACAAATACAGAGAGGGGGGCTCTGCTGTCTCTGCGTGTGTGTAGTCCTGTTCTGTTTTGTTGTGGCTCGGCGTGATCGAGAGACTTGTTGTTTGTACGATGGGCCCGTTACCCTTGAAACGCACTCGTGCACAAGCACAATTTGACTCTGTTGTCACCGGGGTGCATATTGGATGCAGTTTATCGTCAGCTGGAACGTGTACATGACGTGGGTTTAAATTAAATGAGAGCAGCAGAGGGAGCAGAAGAGGGGCATCGGGGTGTTACAGGAGCGATGTAGTAGAATGTATTGTACCTGTCGGGGGAAACTGCAGCTGGGAAGGTCAGGGAAACCTTGGGGAATGTGAAAAGCAAAAAGATCTTTCCATTTTAAGACCATAAACATGTGCTGATACCTCAATTATACACACAGGGATGCAAGTTATGGCTTCATACATGTATTCAAATGGACAGACAATGCACACACATACACAGAAATATGTGCACATAAACACAATTCCAGTCAGGTGTGTGTGTGTGTGTGTGTGTGTGTGAGAAGGTGAACAGGCGGAGAAGGAGGTGAGGGGGAGGGGATGCAGCAGTTAAGCAGTAGGGATTGTGATAAATGGCTTAGCATGACTTTGACTATGAAGGAGAGGTTTTCCTCTGCATGGAGAGGAGAGAGGGAGGTGGGAGAGAAGGGGAGACAGAAGGAAATGAGAGAGGGAGAGAAGCAGCTAGAGGGTTCTGTTGCCTGTGTGGCGTCCGGGCTGTGTTGGCTTAGAGAACGACACTTTAAAACCCAGAGCACGTTTCTGGTGAGCTTAAATGGTATTGAAGCCAAACGCTCACACTATTCTCTCCCTCCTCTTGAAATTCTTCAGTGATCTCTGCTCCTCTGGCTGTTAACAAAGGAAAACCAGAATATACACAGTTCAGCTTCTGCTCTGTCTTTTGTTTTTTTGTTTTTATTCCCCAGTCGCAGTGATGTGGACAAAGATACAAAGATGAATGTTCTTTATTGGTGTGCCGCTTTTGACTCTTTATTTGATGATCTGTGGAAGTCTGCCGTTTCTAACTAAGGTTTGTTTACCAGCCGGGTCCATGTGATTGTTGGTTAGTCACTACAGGGAAGGGTAACCCCCAGATGTCCATTTGAGCTGTCCAGCACTTTATTACTGGGCTCCTGATGCTGTGTGTCGCCCACAGACATGAGCGCTAAACCATTCCTTTGCCCTCTTGTTTGGTAACTGCACATTTTTATTCAGCTGTCATGAAATGCTTTAGAGATTTAAACAGGAGCTTAATTTGTATTCAGATGCATCATGCTGGTGAGGAGATGCTGTCTGTCTTGTCCGTTTTTATTTGAATGTTTTCTAGACCCGTAAATGTTTTTGTACAAGATGAAACAAGGACCCTTGACGCTGGTTTTGCAATGTGACAGCTTGTCATATGCATGCAAGTTTTATTTCTTTATTTCTTTTTTTTTTTCTTTTCAAGGGAATGGGTGGGGAGGTACACATCTCGGTAAATATTATGATTTATGAGGGAAAAATGCATTTCTAATTTTTGTTTTGTAATTTATTTCCAATATTTCTATATTTTTGTTTTTGCAAATTATCACTTACATTTGTATGAGTAAGACATGACAAGTCCAGGAATATGTATATAAAAAAAAAAAAAAGTTCTTATGTTCAGATTCTTTGTTTAGTTTCTTACATGCTGAGGTTATTTTTTCAGAAAATAACATGAATATATGCAAACTGAGACAAAAATAAAGATGTACAGAATAAAGTATTGAATGTGTATTGTACCTTGTACAGCATTTGTCTAATAAGACGGGTAAATGTATTCATTCTTCAAGTTGGATTTGGAGTTTAAGATGTGAATGTTTACAGTGGGTTTGTGTAGGAAAAGATCGCTATGTGCTCCCAGGGCAGTCTGACAACACTACTCCCATAGGCAGTACATTTAAACCAAAAATCTCCACATTTCAGATTCATTTTTGAGTGCAATGAACCTCCTCCCTTTTTATGTGAATTCATTGCATATTGTATGGTCAGCAAGCCTATTTCTCCCCTCTTTTTCTAAACAATTGCACATCACCACTACTCACTTAGCCTGCCTGTTTTTGTCTGTAGTAGCTACTACAGTACCCAAACCCAGATATCTTCAGATTTATATGAACAAAAGTCTTTTACCCTTCCTCGTATTATATTAACAGTCAACACTTAACTTTTTCTCACCAGATTTCTTCAGCCTGGTCCTTTGGTCCTGATACTATAGCCATATCCCAGACTGTCTTTGCTTACACAGATGCTCACCCTTCTCCAGTGCAATGTAATGCCATAATTTAAATTACCCTGAAGGATTTAAGGGGTTACTACCTCTCTGCACCCTGAAAAAATATATAGCTCCTCAATAGGAAGGCAGTGTTACAGCAGGTTTGGAAGGTTGAAGGAAATGAATGTGCTGTGAATGTGTATTTTGATCTGTCGTTAGTCGACCCTGGTTGAGATGGCCTGCAGAAAATAAATAGAGGCGGTCTTGGAAAGATTTTTAGTCACATGCATGTCCAAATGACCCCTTGTTTTTTGTTTTGTTTTTGTCTTTTTTCCCCCCACATTTGTCAGATTATTCAGTGCAAACGAGGTGTGTTGTAAATTTCCTCTGCATACAAATTTGGGCTCTTGAGGTGAGAGATCTGAGAGGATGTGAATGATTATTGTAAAAGCTCACATCTTTAAGAGTGACTGCTGGTTTGTGCTTTACACTTGAAAAGAACAGATTAGACAGCGCACCAGAGATCAACTCTAAATGCAGGCTACTCTACAATCAGGGTTGAACATTAATGAAGAGGAAAAACAAGAATTTTGTATTCTGATGTCCTTTGCTTATATCGATGTGTGCGTTTTATTTTGCACTTTGGAATATTTCATTGTCATAAAAGAAGTTTATTTTCTATGTAAAAAAAATTTAACATTTAAGAGTAAAATACATATAATTAAAAGTTCAGATGATGTATAAATATAGTGCTTTCTTTCCTGCCTGTATTTTATTATTTTTCCTATTTTGTATCTGATCCGTACACCCTGTAGATGTGTAATGAATCTTTCACTACTGAAATGCAATGACCTGTTTTCTGTGCTGCCCCTCGAGAATGGGGAGTTACTACTGCAGTTTCTTATTGTATCAGATTCTTTTTTAAGTTTGTAATAAAAAAATCAGATTGGCAAAAATAAGCATGGAAAATAAGCTAATTGTGTCGTCCTCATTGTTTATGGGTATGTAGAGCACATGAATGAAACATTTACGTGAAAAATAATGCAGATAAGCACACCCTCTCACCTCTTAACGTCTAGGTGTGTTAGATTTGAACATATTGCAGATCAAAGTTTGAGGAGTGGATCCCTGCGTTCCTCTGAAAAGCCTGAGCAGTGTGTTCTCTTATGGCAGTAAACAAACTCCAGTGATGTTTGATCAATAATTCAAAGCAAAGATGAAAATTCTCAAACGGTGAGGAGCCAGATTGCTTACCACCCACCTCAGCTGGACCCATCCCAGCAGATATTACTTTATATTTCATCATCCAGCACTCTGTCTGTGTGTCCTGTGCTAATGCCTCTGTCAGATGCAGCCACAGCTGTAACAGTGGCTCGCACATGTGAACACACTGGGCTGTGCTTTCTATAGTAACGTGCAGTGGTGTGACATTAACATGCATGGCTAGACTCCTCCTTGGCTCTCCTCTACTCTCCTCCACATCTTCATCGCCCACTCACTGCATCCCTGCGTCTCCCTCCCTCCCTCCCTCGGCTCACATGTCTTTAACTGCATCCCCGTTCTCCATCTTTTCTCCGTCCATCCCTCCCCTTGCCCCATCTCCTCCCCTTGCCCCATCTCCTCCCCCACTCCTCTCTTCTCCCGTTCAGCACCCTTTCCTCTCCTCTCTCCCTCCCATCCTTCCAACCACTTGATCCTTTGCTCTTCTTGCCCCCCCCCACCTGATTCCCAGAGCCCCTCCCTTACTTTCTCGCTTTCCTTTCTCCATCTTCCACACATACAACACACACACACACACACACCCTTCCCGTTGGTCTTTGAGGCTGCTGCTGTTACGCAACGCTGCTCCCCAGTGTGTCGATGTGATCATTACGCAACTTCTCCTACTCCTCTGGAATACTAATGAGCAGCAGGCAACGAAGGGACAGTGCAAAGACAAGGCGAAAAGAAAACAGAATGTGTGTACATGTGCACTCGGAGGGATGGTGCACGTGTGCATCAAGGATGAGGATCAAACCGTGCTTCTTTTGTTATCTATTGCTTCTTCGTCTCTCAGCACCAGTGTGCCTCCCATTAGAGCTGCTGCAGCTGGTCGATGACTCAGGCAAGGTCAAACCAGGAGCCCACATGTCATTAAATCCCAATTTATTTCATATGCATGATACAAGATAGTTAGGACATGGTACTGCTGTTGCATGTATCCAATACATGGTTAGGACAATACAAAAACACCCAACATATGTTTATATAAAAAGAGAAAATAAATGAAAACACCACAAAACAAACAAAACTGTAAAAATGTTTGCAATATAGACTTGAAATATTTTTCCAGGAGTATTGTAGCTACTTACTGTAGTGTACACAAGGGCATAATGGTATCGATGCGAAGCCCAGAGCGGACAGTTTCAGACCTGAAAACAGCAGTTTAGAGATAGCAGCTATTACTATCTTTGTCTGACATTCATCTCTACATTTGCAGATCTAAACCGCTGCTAATCATTATTTTCCTTTGCAGCCTGCTACATGTCATTGAGCAGGTTTGTGAATTGCAAGCCAGTTTCATGAGGTGCTACGCATCAAAAAAAAAAAAGAAGTGTGCTACATACTGTATGCAGTACTATAAAATATCTTGATTTGTTGTCTTGTAAAAGGCTCCCTTTGGCCAGTACCTTTACTTAGCCTTATGCAGAACATTTTTAATCTAGTTGAAAAGTAACCAAAAGTTTGCATTCATCAACTACGTCAATGTATAAACAGCACAATGCAGTCAATGTCAAGTTTGAATGTCAATGCAAAATAAAACACATTGCTAGGAAATGTGTGTTATACTACGCCATCGGGAAACTTAGACACAGAATCTATCAAGAAAACACAAAATCACCAACTGATCCAGTGTATCTAGATATAGATCAATCTTTAGTAAATAGAAAACAATCCACACAGTGATCAAAAGATGCTGTTTTCAACTGATGTTCGCCCCAAGGTCAAGCACTGGCTGCACAAGGATAGGTAGCGCTATTATGCCAGTCATAAACACAGGACATCATAGCAAAGATCTTCTGCTTTTTCTTTTGACAAAACTGTGCAATAGACCATCCTACCCATCCAAAAACATATCTAGTTTTCAGTGATGGTTTACAGACATAAGTACACTTGGTGTAAAATATGCAAAACAAAAAACAAAAAAACAAATTCACTGGGTTTCATGCATTAGGATCCTAGACTACAGAGGATCTAAACTGGAAGCACAAATGACTTTGGGGCATTTCTATTTAGTACATCATAGCAATTTTACATACAACATCATCACTGAAATAAAACGAGCATTACATAACAGAGTATTATTGCCACATGTATTTTCTTTCCAAGATTACGGCGATAATGAGCACAAGCCGACCGATTGCAAAATCTGCATCAGCCAAAGACACTTTAGATATAGAGTCCCATAACAGTCTGTAATGTTTTTACTAATTGAGACACAGACTCAGCCAATTTGGCAAAAAAGAACTCAATTCATCAACTCGGATTTAAGGTTTTTGCCAAATGGAACTAAGCTGCTTTTTATGTGCTCTCTGTTTCAACCAACACCACGCTGTAGCCCTGCTAAACTTTGACCCATTCAAAATAGGAAGTGTTGGATGAGGTAAATAAGCATCTGCTCTGTCCTCTGTGTGTTCAGACACATACTGTAAGTATATAGAGAGAAAAAAAGATCCCATAAAACTATATAAATCTGTTTTTAAAACAAACATCCAAAAGCACAGTTTACCCATTTAATTCCCTGCATTGGTTTCATTAGAAGTATTGTTCCTCAAAGGAAATAGAATTATCTGACATATTGTTATACATCACAATCAATAGATGCATTATTACCATCAGAATAAATACAGCACTCATTGACTATTTGGCAAATATAAGGAATAGTATTGAATTAATAAAGACACAGTCAGAATCCCTGTCTCAGGAAATGAAGACCGTGAGACTTGAGAGTTGTTTATTTACAAGGTTTAGAAGCAGTCAACTTTGGGCCTGCCTTCGTTTAAGAAAAAAACAAAACAAAAAAAAATCAATCCAGCTATCACTACAACATGATCTGGCAGGCAGTGGCTTTAGCGCCCTCTACCTGCAGTGTGCAGTAAAATAAACATCCCTACATGTTATCATACCCCTCCACTAGTGAGGGCCCTGGAGATCGTCAGACATATGCCTTTAATAGTAACCTACAAAAAACCAAAACAACTACTCTCTCTCTCTGTTTGTAAAATCATCATCTTTTAATAAAATCTGTCTCCTTTAACAAAATCTTGTGTGAGGCTCTGGAAGCTGATCTGAGGTTAGTAGAAAAGGAAACCGAGTAGCTTTAAATGTTGGGCCATGCAAGGTTTTTTTCTTAACAAGCTACTGTGTCTACCGTGGTGTTTGTGGTAAATAAGGTAGATACCTGCCACCACTATAATCTCTACACACTGTGTGTGTTTTTTTTAAAAAGTGCATAAATGAATTACACACTGATAGACGCACATATCTCTATGGTGCAGGGAGATTATGACTATATATACAAAAACAGTTTAAACAGCGTTTGTGTGCGCAGAGGCGTGCATGTGGATTATAAGAAGGAAGAACTGTGACTGAATCACACCACAAACGGACTCTCATCCTTTTCTCCTCTGCCAGCCTGAGATCTTTGCTTCCTTTCTCCTCGGCCTGGAAGTACCACTGTGAATCGGTCTCCCGCTCCCTTATTCATGTATTCATCTCTCCTGTCCTGTCTGGAGTTAATCAACATCCTTCTTCTGAGCCACAGCTGGAGTATTTTAAAGGAAGTACAGACATAACAGACACTAACGTAAGTACAACACAAGGAAATGTGAGGGACGGCAAGTGTGTCTAAATACACAACTTACACACATGCTTTGGTCCACTAAGAAGAAGTGCTGTGCAGTGATAAAACTATAATTTGTGTAGTATTTAACAGCCTGTGATTCTTTTATACCAGTCTGCTCTTTTCATATTTCCTGACTTTGTTGAAACCGTGTTGAGACGGATCATATTTTCCATGTGTGTTTGACCATGGGAGTATCCACAATCGTTCGCTTCCTCTCTCTGAGTGTAGGAGCCAGGCGCTCTCCACAGGCCTTCCTGTGACCACCGCTCCCATCATGCCTCGCTGCCTACCAGTGTGTATCCAAAACTTGGGAGCTTGACACAGTGACTGGAGGCCAGCAAAGACAACAGTGCAAATTTAGATTCCCTTGGTGTTTGTGTTGAATTCTGCGGGGAAGGGAGTTCTGCTTTTTGTCTCATTGATACTTCGTTATTCTGAGTTCTTTACAGTGGGCCATACTTAGCCTCATATCGGACCAGGACGTTCTTGCAGCGACCACAGTCCTTTCGCAGCTCGGCCACTTGCTGCCGGAGTGCCGCGTTTTCCCGTTCCAGGAAGGAGGCGCGCACCGTGATCTGGTTCTCTTTCAGCCGCCGTGCGTCGCGAGAACGCTTTGCTGCCACATTGTTCTTCTTTCTCCTGGACCAGTATCTATCGTCCTGAGGGAGAGAAAGGCAGATGGTGAATGGAAAAGCCAGAAAGGGAGAGGTAGAGTTGAACATAACCGACATTAGCAAGGGATTTAAAAACAAACAACATCTGTGTTGTGAAAACATCCCTCCCTATCTTTGATCTCTAATCCACAAGCAAATGCTTTCATCTTCAACAGGACTGACCATAATGCTGAGGCCTTAAAGTCCAACAGAAATCAGGTTTAATCATTTCTTTTTGTGGTGTAAAAGTTCATGTGGGTTTTATATGTATTAGTATATTAATAATAATATAGTATTACTTATAATAATATAAGTGGGTCTTTGGGGGAAAGCATGATATGATTAAATCAACCTACCTTCTGCTCATCTGGAACAAACACTTTCTTGGCCTTCTTGATCATAGGCTGCGGTTTCAGCTCCTCCTCTGAGAACTTGTGTTTGCGCGGGTTGAACAGTTCTCCCCCCGGCACACTGGACAGGACCAGGTCTGTGGGATCCGGCTGGAAATTGATGTCCACCTCAATGGCTTCTGGGTCGATGGGGGAGGGTGTGTTACGTTCTGCAGGGTTACGTTCTATGAATATAGAGATAAAAAGTATCTTGAATACAAGATAGGATCCTCAACCTCCCAACTAACCATTAGGTATTATAACTTACACAACGTATAGTCTTATTGAGCACTAATACTGTTCAGCTGACTCGTCAAGTATACTACAAGTGAATACATCATCTCTCATAATGTTCAGTTTCAGACTGTGTCAGGTGAGGTGTTGATGTATGAGGCTGTATTATGTGTCTTTTTTTCAGATTAATTTAATGACTGCATGTATGGGCTTGTGTGTGTGGTTGTGTGTGTGTGTGTGTGTGTGTGTGTGTGTGTGTGTGTGCCATTTTGTTCACTGACAAAGATGTGAGTGTCGCCCTGAAGTGACGTCACCGGCTTAAGGAGCCCGTTAGTTTACGTTTTATTGTTACCGGAAGGAAAAAGATCAATTGTAATAAAAACAAATATATATTATTATTATTTAAATTTAATTATTTTATTATTGTATTATTATTATTATTATTATTATTGTATTATTATTATTGTTGTTATTTTTTATTATTATTATTATTATTATTATTATTTATTTTTTATTTATTATTGTTTATCATTATTTATTATTTTTTATTATTAATAATAATAATTTTTATTTTATATTTATTATTTTGTTAAGGTATTGGGGAATTGTTATATTCTTTCCCTTCCAGTCTGCCTCTGAACCTCTGAAAATGATGTAGCTTTAACATCTTAAAGACACCTGTATTTCATATAACTTTATCTCTAATCTTTTTTCACATGCATGAACTAGACAGTGGTGGGAATTAGGCTAACTATAATTTGCTTGAGTACTGAAGTACAATTTTGCTTGAGTAGTTCCATTTTTGACTTTATCACTTTATACTGCCAATATTGAGCTTTTAGCCGTTTTATTCCGTTTATTTGACAGTTACAGTCTTATTTTAAAATATTTTCAACCATATACAAATCTAACAATACTCGGAAATGCACTCGAAAAAGTCAATAATCAGTTTCCAGTGCCTTAAGATGAGTCCTAACTTTAGTGTCAGTAAGTCCTGCCTGAATTTACACATTCTGAAGTACGACTTCAAAAGAAAACAAATAGTTTAGCTTTGATAAGAAGTAAATAAGTCAAACAATGACGTAATGCATTGTTTGCTTACATGTACTAGGACTAACATTTTTCAAAACTCTCATCCAGAATATCAGTTCTACACTAATTATGGCATGTTTTGTTTTGCTTTTTATGGCTACCCAATTTGCTCGTATAAAGCTCTGATTTGGAGATGTGTGCTTTCTAATTCATATGATTTAAAATGAAACATTTTGTGAATATATCCACACAGTCCAAACCATAAGATACTAAAGAAGCGTGATGCTACAGTGAAGAAATCTGTAGTCTAATATTGTGTGAATGCAAAATAAGCCCGGAATCAACAAAAAGTTAAAGCCCGTCATATTATTTAAGACTTATTACAGCACATGATTTAGCGATAAGAACATCATTACCCACAAGCCCTTGGTAAAAGTCAGGTCTCTTTAGCAGCTGAATGGACGCTTCAGCCCAATAATCTGTGGTTCCTCCCCCATCTCAGCCAATAGACTCTCTGTTGCTATCACCACTTGTATTTTTAGCAAATTGTTCAGCACCGTAGGGAACTACAAATATCCCTGCGCGAATTAAACTAGAGCCAGCTACGTAAATATAATTTTATATAATGAAAAAAAAACGTCTTAATTTGTTGTGTTTGTTGCGTCGCTCCTGGAGGAAGACTATGGATCCACACACTGTAATGAAAGTGAGGAGAGACATTTTTGTTTTTGTTTTTATATCAGTCTGCGGGTTGATATTAAAATAGATATTGTCCACAGGGATCGCATTGATTATTTTATGACAGGAAAAGAGAGATATAAATTCCGTTATATGGGGAAAAAAACAATAATAATAAGCCAACAGCTACTACAATATGAAGAAAGTAGTCCCTGCCGTCACGGGCGTGTGGGCGAGTCACACTGTATATATACGCCGGGTTGTCAAACAGTAAAGTTTCTCTGGACCCTCCATGCAAAGTGTCAGCTGAAGACTAACTGGGAAAAACCTTTGACCATCTGAGAACTGGGGTAGCAGCCAACCAAAACCAACAATACCACGGTGAAAGAATATCTACAGGTCAGCCTCTGCACCAGCGACTCGACAGATCCGCCTTGAAACCCGAGACAACGCAAGGGAATTAAAACAGAAACGCAGGAGTACGAGTCAAGCTGGGGCATCAGTAACGATAGGTGAGTAATTAAATGCCAGCCGGTGCATGAAACGTGCTAATTTAATTGAAATATCCTTATAGGCGTGTTCACGGACAGCAGCATGTTGCTGTGTGTTGCTGTTTGTCTTTCCAGAAGCGTTGTCCATCCATCAAAATGCGCTGACTATAATGAATGACTGTACTGGTTCAGCCGCTGAATACAGACTCAGCTTTTGTTTTTGTCTCGGCCCGTTATATATTTATATTAGCTCGGGTGACCCTCTTAAAGTCTGCTCGGCTGTCACGTTTTATTTTTCGTTTTTTTCATTTGTTGTTTTGTCGGTTGTTTATGCTGAGGAGAGACTCTTTCTTCATTGCTCAGTGCACACACTCGGTCGATAGGCTGCTCGCCACTTAATTAGCTTTATACATTAATTTACAGCGACAATTTGGCATGGAGGGATTCTTCACTTGCATGTCAGCTAAACCAGTGTCCTTTCTGCTCCAGTGCCTTTTGACTGACATATGGCAGTAATCCCCAGGTAGACCCTGCTCCCGTGTTATCTGAGCTTGTCATCACACATGCAAACCTGGCTGATATTTCTCCAATCTCACGCTCTTCTTGCACGTTTACGTCCGTTACTTGGCATCTTGGAGATGTGCAACATATTCCCAATTTAAAATACTAACCAACTACAATCTGTTAAAGTCCAACTGGGAGAAAACTGAATTCAACAAGACTAAAAGGAATAGCGAATAATATAAATATCTTGTTGTGTGGTGATCACTTCAGCTCAGATGGGCCTTTTCTTTATGTTGCTCTTAACAAATATAACAATAATTTATAAAGGGGCTTTTGCTTTCATAGATATAATTGTAGCTTGTGCTCAAGATAAATCTGCTGCTTAATAGATAAAACCTGTCCTGTAGTGGATGCTTTGCAGCACACACACATTGGCAACTCTGATAATGAGTCCATGTAAACAAAAATAGCTCTATAGATCCTGCTGTTGGTCTGACCCACAACAACAGGCCTGTAAAAACGAATCCAGCTCCCTCGAGCTGTGTAGCAAATCTGTATGAGGAATATAGGGATCAACACGGCGAGGGATTCTGTGAATATGGAAGATTTTGATGTTTTTATTTAAAAATTGCATGCTGTGGTTTACGATTTAGACCATCTATTGCTCTCCTGAAGCAGCAAATCTGCACATATTAACTGAGCTATTCCTCTGTCATTGAATGACATTGGATCTTGTGTATCTTACTGTTGCCTTTTTTCTTTTTTCTTTTTTTTTTTAATAATGAGAGGTACGAAATGCAGTAGATGCTGTAGGCAGCTCAGCTGTGTGTGCACTCAAGGTGTTTGGTGATGATGGCTGTTGCAGGTGACCGGCTGGTAGATTCTTCTGGGCTCAAAGATCCTTTATTCCCTTTAACTCATTTTTAAAAACAGGTTGTGGAGAGAAGTGGCACCATACATGATGCAAAATGGGGCCCTATTTATAGCCCATTCTAACCAACCCCCATCTTATCCTTCAATGTCACCTTTTTCATGCGATAGGAGAAATGTAAATCTCGTCTTGTGCTGTCACTCCGGCAGCCCTGCATGCAGCCTGTGCAGCTTTATCTGTAATAACATTAGAATTGTCTTTAATCGGAGGCGTCTTTCTAATCTTAGCTGCCGAATCCCCATCTGGCAGGGAAGTGAATGTGAGTGAATTGTTTGTGTGTGCGTATTGGGGGATGGGAGGGGGTGATCGCGCACACTGCATGGTGGGAAATGGTGTTCTGTGAAGTCGTCTAACTGTCCTGCCATTTTACACTTCTTTCTTTGTGAGTCTTGTGGCGTTGTTTTCCTTTTTGCATGTAATCTTTCACTCGGTTTGACTCTGCATGGTGATGAATGGACTGTGTGACTGACTGTGTTTAAGCATTAAGCAGGAGGCACTCCATGGGATCGGATTCAGATTATAAAGGATTTATGCAGCCCACAACACAGCATCTGCCACATCCATCAGTACACCCTGCAGTTGATAAAACCAAAATATTAAATATTAAATGTGTATAATTGCTGTGTGTCACTGAATAAGAATAGTGGTTGTGTAAATAAGTTTGCTCTTCTCTTAACAAACAATATACAGTATGTAGATTCGGTGAAGCTGGAATATTTTCCCCTCATCCCTTTTTAAGTAATCACATGTCTAACAGATGTAATGCATTTTTGCTGTACTGTATTAGAGAAATGCAATTTGACTCCTAAAGGCATTATAATGGGCTTCTCACACTGCTCCTCCGGGCTCTTTGAATCTATTTTTAATTGCTTTAAAGTCATTTCACAACAAATTAGACAAGTGTCAAGTTTCCAATTTAAATTAATCTTTGCCATCACGGGCCAGTACAGATAGTATGTCTCAATCTGTCATTGAGCAGCAACTCATCCGCTGGTCCCAAATCGGCAGACGTGTATATTTCTCGCTTTCATTAGTCATGACGTGTGTGTGTGTGTGTGTATTTCACGCATCTTACCCAATGTGCCCCGTCAGTGAACACAGATGCTGTATGTGTTAGCGCAAAGTAAACCCAGAGCAGCACTATACACAGAACAAGAAATCAGCAAAACATAAACCAGAGGGGAAGATTTGCCTCCGAACAGGAGGCCAAAAAATCAGGCGAAATACGGTCACGGCTTTTTCGGGCCATTTCAGTCAGCAGAAACAGACATTCTGGCGGACGGTCGTTTTTGCGATTTAAAGAGGGTAGTTAAGAGCTAAACGGAGGAGAATCCTTGCATCTAGTCATTCTGAACTGCTTTGAAAACTTCGGACACAGGGCCGGAGAAAAGCGACAATGCACTAAGGACGACACAATGACGGACACTCTTGAGCAGCAGGTTCAGTTTTGGGGCCGACTTAATCTGAACAGTAAAGGTGCAAAGTGGCCAATGAACACCTTGCTGAGATGCAGTTTTATTATGAATGTCGGACTCGAATTTACTTATGATTATGAGACTATAGCATTTTCACACTGCTTGAATTGTCAACTGTGCATTTCTCCTATCACTGTTAATATACATGAATGTGCCTAGTCATACATCATAAATAAATGCTCCTCATATTTCGTTCTCCTTTAAATCATTAATCTACTAATCTTACTTAGGGGGGACAAATGGATTTAGGGTACATTAATGCGTTTAAACAGTTATGTGTGATAATCTGTGAGGGACTAGTATCGATGGTTCTGTTGCTACGTTACAAATTATAAATAAAGAATATTGTAGGACATACATAATAATAATAATAATAATAATAAAACAGCAAGAAGAAACAAGGGCCCGGGGCGCCCCAGTAGAGTAACACTAATCTACTTAGTATTTACTATATAAGACATTTAAATATAGTCTTTTACCGTGTTTCATGTTTTTTTTTTTTATGTGTCCGTTAATTCAGAAATAAATAAATAAATAAAATTAAAGTAAATGCTTCTTAGCTTTGCGTGCCTCAAAAGGCGGCTGCCCCAATTCAAAGGGTGCCGTGTAAGCTGGCCTATATGTAAAGCAGCACTTATTTGTGGGATGACATCCTTTTTGTAAACAGTTTCGCCTAACAGCAGGCCAGCGCGCCAAAACATCAATTAAACAGCTATCTTTGGGATTTGGGTCCACACCCAAACACAGCACACACACACACACACACAACACCACCACACACACACCGCTGATGCCATCAGTCCCAGCTGGTCAGGGAGTGACGACTACCATGGAAACCTCGTAACCGTTGCTTCACGCTTGGCTCGGGTGTACACCAGAGCAGCGAGCACCTGACGGACCGGCGGAGCTCACAGCTCTGGCTGCACACTTGAGTGTGCCTCGGTGCAGGGCTGAACAGTTATACACCTTCTGGCTGGCTGCAGTCGGTTCCGGACGGGTCTGTAAGGTCCGTAATGGTTGTAGATGGTCCGCTGTTGCGGGAGTCAACGGGGACACGGTGGACCTGACCGGCAAGCGCGGCACTGCGCCCTGCGTCGACCGCCGGCGCGTTCGGACCCCACAGCACCATCTGGGTTGTCACGTCAATGTGCTCGACAGCAGCGCAGGCTTTAAAACAGTTGCTCCGAAATTAAAAATAACGTAGTTTCGTTACCCGGATAGCCTAGTTTGACAGTCGGAGGACGGGGTAAGGAGCACAGTTTCATTACACTGTTACGCTGCAATTTCCTATGGGCGCAGAAGATTTCCTGTATCTATACGCTACAAGAGAATTTACATTAAAAATCTTGCCCAGCGTATCTTCAGTGTCTAGCAACACAAACTCTGATTACAGCCTATTTTCCGCAAACATATCAGGTTGTGGTTTGGACTGCATGATCCAGCCTGGTGAGAGCAAAAAGAGACAGGATGAGCAAAGAAGGACAGACAAATGTCAACACAGCCCAGTGTTAACCTGATAAAAACAATCACGCATCACACACACACACACAAACACACACACACAGGACAAAACACAGACGGAAAGAAAAAATGAAAAGCCTAGCACCAACACAATAGCAGTATGTGTTGTGGTTTGTTGTCACAGACAATCACACAGGAAAGTTTTCACACAACGGGTGTTATGTCATGCAAAAAGACAAGAGTATGAGCAAGCAAGCATTGGAAGAACAGCATGGAGTGAACACAGACTCACATGTAGGCTGAAATGTAGCGGAGTGAACCACAGTCTGTGTAATGCTCAAAATGAAAAGTGCAACAACAACAGCATGAAAGATGTCAGACTGAGTGGGGTACGTGTGAGCTGCAGTTGTGCTCTGACAGCACACGGGCTGATGGGATGTTAGTGATGCTGCCTACAGTAAATAGGTGAGCGTGGTAGATTGTTTACAGTCTACAATGAGTGAGGAAACATTTGTTCAAGTCAATAATGGAGTCAGAGAGCAGCAAACCCATCAGCCCACTGCAGGAGGAAACTGAAGGAAGACTAGAGTTCATCACCATTTGGTGCATCATAATTATTGAGAACATGTGGAAAAGATGTTCTTCAGTCGACAAGTCTGGACATAATGAAGGAAAAATACATTCATGAGTTGAACAACTCATTCAGCTTATTGAGCTGTTTGGATGGAAACTACTGAGATAAACATTAAAGAAGATGTATAATTCAGTTAAAGATATTAAAGCATGACGCTGTTAAATTGTCACTGCTTCACCAATTTTACTTTTAATGATATTCTGTATCTAACTATTAATTCAGGGTCTGAATCAGGTTTTTATACTGCTAGGTACAATCATTAAATATGAGATTGATAATGAATAATCCTTTATTTGAATGCTTCCAACAAGTCTGTTTCTCTAAGGGGAAGCTCGAAACAATCCAAACAACATCCACATTAGAAAAATAAAATAGTGATACCAATCTGTCACAAAATTAGGAACATATCTAGCTACAGGGTTACACTCAGTGAACAAATAAGCTCGACAAATCGGATGTTAAACTGAGGAGTGCTGCCAGTGCGAGTGATGCTGCTGCGGGAATGCTTTCACAGTAATCCTGTCTGTGCATGTGCGTGCTTGTGTGTGTATGTGTGTGTGCGCTTTTCGTCTGTACAGCGACCTTGTGTGTGTGTGTGAGTTCTTTCTTTCAGCGAGCATAAAGACAGTTGTGCCTAAACCAACATGGACACCAAAAAGTCTGGTCACCATCTACCGTTCACATTGTCTCTTCCTCTTTGCAAAGCCCCTCTCTAGGCCCACACTACTCCCCTTCTTAACCCGTGCCAAGGCCCCTCAGTGGCCCCTACAGGCCCTGCCTCCCGTCTCTCCCACTAATTACTGGAGCTCCTTCATCCTGTTGAGGGCAGAGCCAGCCTGGAACCACTCGATCTGCGTCTCATTGAAGGTGTGGTTGAGAGAAATGGAATCCTGGCTGCCATCGCTGTGCTTGATCACAGCTGTCAGGGGCTGGAGGAGGACACAGGAGGCAAACAAGATCATGTGTCAATCATAGGCGGCTGTCCTTTGGATCAGTGTTTCATTAGTACAGAATATGGCTCACCTTGCCGGGAGCAAAGGACTTCAGCCCGGTGATCGAAATCTTGTCATCAGGGCGAATTTTGTCGTAGTCTTTGGGGTCAGCAAACGTCAGAGGCAGCAGGCCCTGCTTCTTCAAGTTAGTCTCTGTGAGAAAGAGAAAACAAAGATATATCAGACATATCGGCAAGACACTGACTCATACAGTCTTTCCATCACGTAACCAAAGAAGGGCTCTTTGTCTGACTGGAGTGTATCTGTTACACAGAAATACAAGGTCATGGAGAATGATGAACTTGAGTGTCTGGCTGTCATTGGTCAGCACCAGTTCTCATGATGAATTAATGTTGCACTAAATTCATGCTGTTGGAAATCTAAACTTTGTATACAGCTAATGTAAACTGTATCAACTACACACAACAGCATTTATTTTGTGTGTTTATCAGGAAATATTTTCCCACAAATGAAAGCAACATTCCTTACATAGACAGGCTTTCAGCTACCCACTCTCTTACATCCAGCCACCTATATGCAACAAACTGGCACTAATGGACTCTTAATTATAACTTAGAGACTCTCTTAGATGCTGCTGGAGACATCTGTATTCTGGCAGACTGTCAACATGCCAGACTAAATAATCATCAGTTTGCTCTAGTACCCAGTCACAACAATTGAGATACTGCTTCCCTGTTGCCTCTACCTTTTACAAAGAAACTAAAGTAACGGTTTGAGCATTAGCATAGAAACATAGCACATGAATTCAGAATATCTCTAAAATGCAAGAGATTCTTCTCTGTTGCCCTACAACTCACCATGGATTCTGGCAAAGCTCTTGACGATGATGGCGCGGCCTCCAAGGTGTCGTGGCTCCAGGGCAGCGTGCTCTCTGCTGGACCCTTCTCCGTAGTTCTCATCTCCAACCACCACCCAGCTCTCTCCATTGGCCTGGATTATACAGTTTAGCCAAGACAAAGGAAACAATTTAACTGCTGTCAGGGCAAGGACAGAGTAGATAAATAAAGTGCTTCAGAGGAAATTGGAAAATTTTGTTGCCAGGTAAATATACAAAACAAATAACAATTTTGCCTGGTCTGTCTTTTTTAGTTTACCAGTACGAGCATACAGCACGCTACAGAATCTGTACTCATATGCCAATTAACTAGGTACACCTAGCTAAAAGTAATGCGGTCTAATACAACAGTCCTGCAATGAATCCTCCCTTGTAATGTTCAGTTTTAGTTGAAATGGTTTTTAGAAAGGTGTTGGTTCAACTGAATTGTACTGTTGGATGGGGAAATGTGTTCATTATTTTAAGTTAAAACAAATAATCGACAGAAAGTGTCATGTGTCAAACTCACTTTGTAGTAGCGAGCCACGTCTGGCACACCTCCGTACTCTCCTGTCAGCTGGTTCTTGATCTTGTTGACGGCGTCATTCTCAATGTTGACTGCACCGATCAGCAGATTGTTGGAGATGTTGTCCAGGTGGCCGCGGAATTTCAGCCAGGGACCGGCAGCACTGATGTGGTCAGTGGTGCACTTTCCTTTCACCTACCAAGAATGAAGAAAGTAATTAAACAACGGCTATTTAACAATAAACTAATTTATCTAATTCAGTGGAGTTATCTACCTTGTCTGTGCATCCCAACCCCAATCCAATTCTTTCCTATTGAAGGCATAAATCTTTTAACATAGTGCCCCTGTCTATTTCAATGAAGGAGCATGTCATCCAGTGCGTCTCAGTCATGTGTTGTAAAAGTTGGCGCTTTAAGACAAAGAAGGCTAAGATACATCAGGCTTACTACTTAGTAACATCAGTTCATTGTTAGTTTTAGTCTCTCCATAATTACATTACAAATCCATGATTTGTTCAGAATTTTTTTACAACAATTTGGCTCACCCAGTGGCCTGACAATAAATATAAGATGCTGTTTAGTTCTACTAGCTCTGCCTTACTTGCCCATCCACTACAATGTTCCTTCCACATCCCGCTCACCTTAATCAGGACCCTCATGTTCTCCAGGTCTTTTCCATGCCACTTGTCGAAGGGCTCCAGCAGTTGCAGACGGTTGCTTGAGGGGCTCACGTTCACCTGAACATCATATCAGGGTAAGACATTAAGAATACTTTCAAAAGTAAAAAAGACTTTCAAAAAAATTACTTCATCATTCAGTAACTCTTTCTTTTCTGTTTTCGCTGTTGCGATCTAGCCAAAAACTACCTGGACTGAGCCGCCCTCGGCTGGGGGGTGCTGGTAGGTGTCCTGGCCCGGGTCGAAGTCTCTGGAGGGCAGCTCGTCACCGGTGGGGGGCTCCAGCTTGAACTTCTCTCCGCTAGGAGTGGTCAGATAGTCTGTCTCTGGGTTGAAGTCGAGGGTCCCGGCGATGGCCAAGGCGGTGACAATCTATGTTGAAACAGGCATTGAGTCAACAGTGATGGATTAATGTGTTTGTATCTGTTTGTTTAGATCAACAACATTAGGAGACAGAGGGTGTACAAAGGAATATTTTATGGTAAAGTCCTCCACTATGTTGCATGTATGAGCTACTGTAAGTCTGTCTATTGATGCCCCTGTTATTATGAATCACTGAGCTTGTATTTTATTCTTGGAGTACATCTTACCTCAGGAGAGGTGACAAAAGCATGAGTAGCTGGGTTAGCATCATTCCTGGCAGTGAAGTTTCTGTTGAAGGATGTGACAATAGTATTCTTCTCTCCTTTTTTCACATCCTTCCTAAAGAAAGTGAAAACACAGACTTGTTAGTCTGATCCATTTTGTTTAACCTACATCAATCATAGCAATTTTCTATTTGTTCTTTAGACTTTAATTTGTACTTTTGTACAGTGAGCCACCTGTTTCATATCAGTTTACAAGGCCAGAAATCTAAAGCCCTTCTAGTGGCCCTTAGTGGCTGCAGTGTTCAATACATCCAGCAGTAAGAAAGCGTTGGAGCGAACAACATAATGATGATTTCCCTGTTCTTACGGTCTTGCTATAGGAAAGAACATGGGGTTTGGCCTATGATTGATGCTACAAGACAGCTGTCAAAAATGGGAAGAGTTCTGGAGTTAGAGTTTTACTCTGAAAACAGTAGTATTCATCTTCTAAGGACCATAAATATTCACAGTAAATTTCATGGAAAGTTTAGTTTTAGTTTTCGTCAGTTTTTTTAACCAATGTTGGTAAAGAGGAAATACTGATCTGAAAGTTGTCAGCAATCATTATCATGAGAAATATTTCCAAAAGATTTCATGGTAATTTGGTCAGTGGTTGTCCAGATATTTTGTGCTGGACCAAAGTGGTGGCAGAACAGACTAAACAACTACCATGACTTTAGTGCCAGGGGCAAACAATTAGCCTTAAGAAATGAGGTGCGCACCTATCCCACTGTCCGATGCAGGGTCCACAAGCATTGGCCAGTACAATCCCACCAACATCACTCAAGATCTTGGCCTGAAAGAGGTACAACATGAATAAAAAAACAGAAACTCTAGAAAAAATGCTGTGGATCACTTGCTAAATTTTAGTGAGAGTCTGTTGACTCACATATCCATCCCGTTCGATCGTGGCGCGTATCTGTTCAGATCCTGGGGTGACTGTGAACTGGGCCTTGCACTTCAGACCTTTATCCAGAGCCTGCTTGGCCAGAGAGGCCGCTCTGCCCATGTCCTCGTAGCTCGAGTTAGTGCAGCTGCCGATCAGACCTGCAAGTTCAATGTTTGTAAGAAATGAGAACGAGGAAACTAAAGTGAGGGAGCATACAGTTACAGTGGCACATTGGAAGTACTCATCTATTTTTAATAACACATCTTACATTTAAAACGAGAGGAAAGTTGTTGAAGAGGAGAAGACACAAAAGACAAGCAGGTCTAGGATTATAAATCTTGATCATCACAACTATATTCTACCTATTTTGTCAATTCTATTGCACTTAGTACCATATTGGAAGACCATATGAGGGCTGTAATGTAATCTAAACATATCTGGTCAATAACACAGCTAGTAGGAACAAAGAAAGAAATATCACATTTCACTAGACAAAGCATTACAGTTATAAAAAAATGAAAGATAATACAGCTGTGTCACAAATACTGACCAACTTTAACCTCAAGGGGCCAGCCGCTCTTCTTAGCTATAGCCCCGATATCAGACACAGGGTGGGCCAGGTCAGGGGTGAACGGCCCGTTGATGTGGGGCTTCAACTGTTAGAGGAGGAGGGAAAAAAGGTGCAGTCATAATTTGGGTAAAGTGGGACATGTTTACGTATGCTAAAATACTGTTTTTTAAATTTGAGAACTTTTAAAAGAGGAACACTAATAAGCACTTAAAGGACCAGTGTGTAGGATTTAGTGGCATCTAGTGGTGTAGTTGCATATTACAACGCCCTGGTCTCACCCTCCCATTTCAAGGGTGTACAGGGTTCCCACGCTTTTTAAGAAATCATTTTCCAGGACATTTTCCAGGAGTTGGGAACACTGGTGTAGTAAAAAACTACTGTGTGCTACAACTCACAAAAAACGTGAAAGGCTCTATCTAGTGCCAGTGTTTTGTTCGCCTGTTCTGGGCTACTGTAGAAACATGGCAGCCTCCAGGGATCCGCTCCCTCTGTAGATAAAAACAGCTGATTCTGCCAGTAGATCCTCCAAAGTGTTACACACTGGAGCTTTAAGCTGCCTCATGCAACATAATAACCACATTACACGGAACAAAACAAAGCAAAAGGTAGTGTTTTTAGTAGACAGCATTCGAAATGGACTCAGGAAAACTTACTTTACTTTACCAACATAAGCTAAATTTCAGTCAGTCAGTGATTCTTACCAATGTCGGTACATCTTCAGTTTACTGCCCAGCTTCAGGACCTAGGTCATTCATGAAGCTAATGACTATGCCACATACTATGAGGATTATTATATAAACACATACTGGAAATAATTAGTATGTATTATGGATTTGGGTAGTGCCGATATTAATGTCTTACAATACATGACTAATGTTAGGAAACCAAAGTGTTTTGACTCACCTCACTCAGGTTAATCTCAATGACCTGGTCGTATTCACAGCCTTTATCTGGGACCAAGTCATCTTTGAACTGATCAGCCACAGTGGCAATCTCTGAGAGGGGATGAAGAAGGAGATGAAGTAGATAAGACCCGGTAAATAAAGACGAAACATATAGAAACTAGCGGTAAGGGACTGACCTCCACGGCCAGTTTTCTCCATGTACGTCTTCATGCGGTGGTTGTAGGGGAAAATGGACGTGGTGGCTCCAATCTCAGCACCCATGTTGCAGATAGTGGCCATTCCTGAAACATCAAAGTGTCATTTTACCCTTAAAGGTACCCTTAGAACTTAATTAATTATCCAAGCAAGATGTGGATGGTAGATGAAGTGGTCATTATTCTTCCTTTCTTCGATTTTCACATTTAAACACTGAGAATATCCTTCACCAGCGTCACAGGTCATGTGATATTTCTCATCCTTACCAGTGCAGGAGATGGAGTCAACTCCAGGCCCATGATACTCCACAATGGCTCCAGTGCCGCCCTTCACAGTCAGGATGCCAGCCACCTTCAGGATGACATCCTTTGGAGAGGTCCAACCAGACAAGCTTCCTGTCAGCTTCACTCCAATCACCTGAATTGAAAAATGCACACAGTCTTAAACAATCAGATAGAGGTATTTGTGGAGACATTAAGTGGTTGAAATGAGGGTCAAAACTGTTGACATTAAAATAAATGTGCAAGATAGCAGATGTCAAGAACTCACTTTAGGACACTTGAGCTCCCAAGGGATTCCAGCCATGACATCCACGGCGTCAGCTCCGCCCACTCCAATACAGACGGAGCCCAGGCCACCACCATTGGGAGTGTGGGAGTCTGTACCAATCAGCAACACCCCAGGATAGGCATAATTCTCCAGGATGATCTGTCCAAAGAAAAGGACATCCACGGTCACACTTGAAATGGACAACTTTCAAGAAATGTCCTTCTCTAGAAGCACTTGAAAGAGGTTATATTAATCACTCTGGTTCAAATACTGTTTGGAAGGAACTGCATGCTGATTCACTGCAGGCAGAATACGATGTGCAAGTTTACTGACAGGAATTTATTAAAAATCCACTGCAGATATGTTATAAGACATACAAAAATACTCTGCTTTGAATGATAATAAGTGTGTCTGGCATGGTACTTAAATTGCCACGGTAAACTTCTACTTTACTTACTGAAAAAAGAGAATGTATGAGTATGCAAATATTTTTCATTTTAAATGTTTACCTGCTAAACACATTTCAAATTCTTCAAATACTTACAAAGCATCATTATAAGTAAGAGCGTTGTACCTGATGAATGATCCCTGATCCGGGTTTCCAGAAGCCAACTCCATATTTAGCAGCAGCAGTTGCAAGGAAGTTGTACACTTCCTCATTTATGTCCTGTATTAAGAGCAGTTAGGGAAGAATTAAGGCTTCTGTTGAAGCTAATGTTAAAGTTAGTTCAAGTGAATACACGATACTGTCAGTTCAAAATATACGGCAGTGTATTGAAAAGTTAATTGCATAAACACTATCCAAAATAAAAATAATTGGCTCTTGTTGCAGTCATTGTGTTAAAGGTCCAGTGTGTAACATTTAAGAGGCTCTACTATAATATTCATAGGTATGTTTTCATTCATGTATAATCACCTAAATATAGGAATAGTTCCCAGCCTGTTCTTATTCCCAGGTCATCAAATATAGCTGCAAGCGGTACTCAGTTAGTTGAGATCTGCAACTTCAACACTAGATGCCACTAAATCCTACACACTGGTCCCTCAGTTGACAATACCTTATAATAAACTGAGCCAAATGCCAGAGAGGAAACGTACAAAGCTGTAGAGCCTCTTCATAACTGCATCTTGGACACATTGACTAATTTGAGGTTGGTACCAGATTCACACTTTGCAAGCATACAGGCTTAGTGTTGTTGGTTGGTGTGTTGTTCTTGGTATGAATTGTGACTGTAAAAACCTGAACCAGCTCTAGTCACCTGAAATCAGTCATTTTCAAACCAGAGTATAGTGAATCTACCATATATATGAACTAAGTTGTATTGTACACACACAGACACCTATGCCTGTCCTCACCTTAGCCCTCTGCAGGTCCTGGACTCCTCCAATCTGAGCCTCAATCAGATGATCACAGTGGATGGTGGAGGGAACCGCCACCGTGGGCAGACCACTGCTGATGAACTGAAGCATTGCCATTTGAGCTGTAGCATCCTGCATGGCCACACGGTCCGGACGCAGGCGCAGATAGGTGCGGCCGCGGTCGATCTCCTGCCCAGCTGGGTCATCCAGGTGACCGTACACAATCTTCTCCGACAGAGTGAGAGGCCTGCTGAGCCTGGTGGGGAGGATTAATGGAAAGATGTGGTGAAAAGGTGTGTTGGTGTATTTTGCAGGGCCAGATACAAGTTTTATCAATTTGGGTAAAAGGTCTTACTTTTAATATCTATACAAATGTATTAATATTAAAAAAATATATTATATAAGTGTTCTTGCAGTGTCCTTCTGTCTTTGTGTCAGGCACCATGGAAAAGCCCTGATCACCAAAAGTAACTATGGCTTATCATGAAAAGCTCAATGTTAATCTAAGAGTCATATAACCCCCCACACAAAAGGCTTTTCCTATTCCTGGATTACAGCAAGTGGTAAGATCAGGAAGAAGAGAACACTAGGTCATCCAAACTTAGCTCTGGGTCTTGTTGGCCCTGACAAGTCAACACTGTAAATGTCACAAGATTTACTGTGCAGCTGTAATGAACACCAGCCATTCCTCGCGGGCCAAAGTGTAATCGACAAGGACTCTGTGCATGTTCAGGTGTATTTCCAAGAAGGGCAACGACTGACCTCCTGCGTACAATGTTGATGTTCTTGTGCATCTTCTCATAGTTAATGCTGGAGCCAGGCTCAAAGCGGCTCATGGCCACCTTGGCCTTGGCGCTGAAGGCTGCAGAGACATGAATTTGCCTTGCCCCGGTTCCAAGGGCCAGCTAGACCAGAGGAAACAGAGGACAATTAAAGGTGATAACACCATGAACTAAGTTGTATTGTACACACACAGACACATTAAGGTTTGAGTTATTTAATAACTATATTGAGGAAAGAGTGGAAGTTAAATTATGCAAGAATAGGACCACATGACCGGATAGTTAAAACACAATCTTTCAAATGGCAACAGTAAAAATGTGGCCTACAGAAAGAAGAATCCTCCATTTTGGTGAGAAAAGCCACTCTACGAGATCAGTACTGGAACCAAACGAAGCATATTGTAATCAGTCATTGTTCATCTTATCCCCCTTTACTGCACTTTAAACTATAGCTTTGCCACATAAATAACAGTCAGCAGTTTAAAGTAAAGCCAACAAAGCCAGTGGAGAAATTATTGGTTAAAAAAATGCAAAACATTTCAAGGTTTTTTTTTGGTGCTGTATTACGAAGACTGAATTTAAATCTCAGGACTTTGTTGGTAAAAAAAACAGTTAAAATACTGTCGAAACCCTCAATATCAGACTGACACACATCTCTCTGTAGTCACATGACAAGACCTTTCTTTCAATACCTTTAATGTCCAGCTTTATCACGCAGTGAAAGACATTATGTATACAAAACAAACAGAAACACAATATCACACTAAATATTCTGAATGTAATCGGGAGACTGCTTCAACTTTTCGAGGCATTTTGATGTTTTTTGTCGCCGCTAACAAAGCCAGCCATTAAACATAAACTGGAAGGATCATCTTTAAACCAGCTATGTTCACTGACTATCTGCCTCTTAGTGGTGATATTCAGTAGAATGTCACAGCGCTCAGCGAAAACTGGGTGAAAGTTTACACAGCTCACATTGCAGAGGTTTGCCTCATGCGCTGGGTAGTTACTGACAGCCTGAGTGGATTCAACATTACATTGTTAACTATGTATGAGCACAAGAAGCACAAATACTGTCAGTACAATCACTATTGGAACCATTATAGCACCTTCATGGCTGCAAATCAATGTGTTTGATTCAGATATGAGAGATATCTTTAATGATGTGTACTTTAAAAAAAATGGTTACAATTTGATACCAAGGACAGCCTAATGTGATCATGAAATCCTAGCAAGGCGCTATACAAGTACAGTCCTGACCTGTGGAAGCTTTTATTCCAGTGGATTTACTTACTAAACCAACATAGAGCACACACACACACACATACATATACAGACACACACACACACACACCTTGTTGGCCAGTTTCTTGTTGAGCTCCTCAGCTATGGCCTCGTTGAGTTGTCTGTGGAAGTTCCACGGAGAGATCCTGACAGTGTCGACCATCTCCACCAACACGAACATGGTGCAGACAGAGAGCGGGCTCTCACACTCTCACACATAAACACACATAAACACACACACTCGGAGCTGCTGTGGTCAAACAACCGAACTGAGACTGAGTCTGTTTTCAGGACAACATTTCCAGTTTCTCCACAGCGGAGAAAAAAACATGAACAGTTGTTTTCTAGTGAAAGACAGCACCAAAAGTAGAATAATCGACTGCAAACTTAGAAGCATCCATGATGTCTCCACGTGATTATTTACGACAGTGAGATTTTACGACATGTCGCAAAACTTAAAGGTACAGTACATATCATATCTTAAATACTATTATTGATCATAATATGTAATGATATTTATTTGTATTTCCATAACGTGCTATTTTATTTCAATGATAGATAGAAATAAACAACTATTTCTTTCTGTGAACACAAAAATCACAACCATTGTTAGCCTAAATATTTCCAGGCACATTGTTTAGTGTTGGTATGTCAAGGCTTTTCACTGGAATTTCATAGTGGTAAAAATAATGAACACTATGAAATCTACATATACCCAAGTATGTACAGGTATGTAACTTAATGTACTAGTGTGAGTAAATAGAGCTACAAACAGGTATGTTGATATTTCAGTGTTGTGGTTATTGTTTTGAAAGTGCAAGTGAACATTACTGTACAAACAGATGAACAGTGTTGGACAAAAAGATATGAGGACTGTATGCTACAGACTTAATAGCAGCCTGTTAGAGTTTACAAGAAGCACTTGAAGGCAGCATCCACAACTGAAGCCAATTCTTCCTCAGCTGCCAGAAGCCTGTATATGTACTGTAACACCACAATACTGATCGATCTTATTATTGATTTCATTAAACAAAGAAAAACACAAAAACAGTCGCTTCAGAATTTTAGCTTTATTAATTTATCATCTACTTTTACAAAATCAAGTTTAATGCTGAAACAGGAGTTTGAGGGGAATCATCACTATGAGAAAACATCTGCTCATATTCCATTTTTTATGTGCTGTATCTGAACAAATGAAGCATGTTGAAACGTTAATTTCAAACACATCGAGGAAGCTTGACCAAACAGAGCTCACCTGAGTACAAAATGACACAATAGGCATGCCACCACACAATGCCTTCAAGAACAACATCATTTGATTTATCACTTTACAGTAGCGCATTTAAACTCAAAGGCCTGAACCAGTGAACAACAAAGCATTATCTTACATCACAGCAGAAGCAAACCTGCTTCACAAGCGGCTGTATGTATGTTTAAATATGACAAAAAGGATGATGAATCAGTATTATGATGTTTTAAAAATAAAAATTGATCTTGGTGAATGCTGTAGGAAACAACACCCTGTGCATAATCAAATAATTATGGACATAGTGATTGATTTGAAAGGTTACGTAATAATGGTTGATTTTCAAACAACTTATGGATAACCATCATTTCTTAACATCTTAGTATTTTCATTAGGCATCTTTGGCAGTAAATCTGATGACACTGATGAGGAGTGTTTAACCATCCAAGTGCTGGACTTAATGAGGGCAGAAAACATAATGAGTACATGAACAGATAAGCCCTATATGGAATCATTAATGTCAAAGTCTTTAGAATTGGGCTGCTGCCATTTCAAATAATCTCTGGCCCTGAAAACAATTGGAACAAAAAAAAAAAAAAGGAAAATAAAAATACACAAAGCCCTCAAGAGTCACCTTCCTAAAAACAACACGTTAGTTTTCACTGTCAAAGCCCAGCAGCAACCAACAGCTACAATTCAATATCTGTGCTTCAATTTAACCCACAATCCACATTTCAACTGGTTTGTGAAGCCACTGTATTACAGGAGCTACAGTTCAATGAAGACTACAGGGGGGACTCTTTATCATGACATCATGTAAAAAGAGGTCACAAACAGTTAACGGTTCTCAATAAAACAGGCAGCATACAGCATGTTAATTGCTCTCGCGCTCTCTTTCTTTATATATATATATATATATATGTATATCTATATAATGATTTATTACTTATTTACACATCCTTATACAAATCGCAGCTTTATATCACATCATTTACACACAGGTCCAAACTCAGTAACCTTTAGTACATAGGAATTTAACTCAGGTCATTTTGTGAATTATTGAATTATTGAACCAAAACTTTTACTTTTTAGACAACAGAATTTACGGATGTATACACTTTCTGGATGATGATGAGAACAGAACACAGAGGATGAGCAGTACTCCCACATAAAACATAGAAGCAATTACCTCAAACATCCCTAAGCGCGCAAAAATATATAGCCACACTGTTTCAGTGGCGCACACTAGGTATATGTCATTGCAAGACTCTGGTTTATACCAAACTTAATACAAGAATGATCTTGAGTCTAATTTTTCTATAGTCTGAATACTTGTGTATCAGTCATGAATATTATTGTATTGTTATGTATTAGCTGTATGTCAGTCCTATAGAGTCACACACAACAGAGATCTCCACTGAAGATTAAAAGATAAAGGAAACGTGGAAAAGCACACCTAAAACTACTTTCCTAACTCTACAAAGTGCTAGTGTACAGGCATCTGGACACTAGATTGTGCGTATGTTTGTGTAAGAAGACAGCAGGCCTTCTCATGCTATGGTGGACCAAACCTCAACCTGAAAAAACATTCAACTCAAAAACAAACACAGCCTGTCATCTCCCATTACAGCCAAACGAGGCAATTTCACACACTGGCAGCTCAAGATGACAGTGAGGACTGACACACTGAGATTTAACACAGAGAAACTGAGATAACATAGCGTCCAACGACCCAGACTGACCTGTGGAAGCTTTTATCTCCCAGTGGATTTACTTCACTAAACGCAAACATAGAGCATGAATCAACAACAGTTTCATTACACCTGTTACGCTGCCAATTTCCTGGATGGGCGCCAGAAGATTTCCTGTCATCTATAGCTACACAAGAGACATTTCACAATTAGCAATAGATAAAAATCTTGGCCCGAGCGTAATCTTCAGTGTCTAGCAAACAGCAAATCTGATTTACAGCCTATTTTCCGCAAACCATATCAGGTTGTTGTTTGGACCTCTGCATGATCCAGCCTGGTGAGCAGCAAAAAGAGACCAGGGGGATGGGAGGCAAAGGAAGGGACCCCCAGACCAGAATGTCAACACAGCGCCCAGTGTGTAACCTGGATAAAAAACAATCACGCATCACAGCACACACACACACACACACACACACAGGGACAAAACACAGATGGAAAGAAAAAATGAAAAGCCTACGCCACCAACAGACAATAGCAAAGTATGGTGTTGTCGGTTTGTTGCTCACAGGACCAGGATCAACCACAGGAAAGTCTTTAACACCAAACGGGTGTTATGTCATGCAAAAAGACCAAGAGTGATGAAACGCAGCAAAGGCAAGCATTTGCGAAGAACAGCAAGGACGGATGAACACAGACTCACATTGGTAAAGGCTGGAAAATGTAGCGGAGTGAAGCCACAGTCTGCTGTAACTAGCTCAAAATGAAAAGTGGGCAACAACTAACATGCATGGAAAGAGATGTTCAGACTGATTGTGCGGTACGGTGTGAGCTGCAGTTGCTGCTCTGACAAGCAACACGGGCTGATTGGGATGTGTAGTGATGCTGCCTACAGTAAATAGCGTGAGCGTACAGGTAGATTGTTTACAGGTCTACAATGAGTGAGGAAACATTTGTTCAAAGTTCTAATAATTGGAGTCAGAGAGCAGCAAACCCATCACCCAGCCCCACTGCAGGGAGGAAACTGAAGGAA